TAGGATATGTATTAGAAAGATCAATGTCAAACTTTTTGAAAGAATTGTTTTTTTGTTGAGCGATTTTCTCATATTTAATAATATATTTAAGTTGGCGTATCTTACGTCCTTCCAAAAATATGTATTAGAAAGATAAATTTTAAACTTTTTGAAAGAATTGTTTTTTTGTTGAGTGATTTTCTCATATTTAATAATATATTTAAGTTGGCGTATCTTACGCCCTTCCAAAAATATGTATTAGAAAGATAAATTTTAAACTTTTTGAAAGAATTGTTTTTTGTTGAGTGATTTTCTCATATTTAATAATATATTTAAGTTGGCGTATCTTATGCCCTTCCAAAAATATGTATTAGAAAGATGACTTATAATTTCAGAGTGGGGGACAAACTCGCCCATTGTCACTTTTTCGTTAACCTTAAACTTGTAATTTTCATTATTTTTAATTAACCTTACTTCTTTCCCAATTCCTGATTTATTTTATTCACTTACTATTAAAAGTCACATTTTAATAAAATATAATAATTTATTTATAGCATTTTTTACTATACTGTAATAAAAAATTAATTATAATAAATTAAATGTTTATTAAATCAAATGTTTTCTTTGCAATAATATTTTTAATGTTGAGTAAACAATGTTGGGATCAAGTGTATCATTTTTCAGACCTTTCTGAACAGCTTCAAGCATACTGATGCATTCGACTTTTTTAAATTGTGTCATTTCTTCGAAATCTCTTGTGACTTTTTTGATAACTTTAACACTTCTCTCTGAATCCAGACCTTTAATTTGCAACTTAATCAGGAATGAAGGAACAACACTGGAATATAACTCGATGACAAGTTCATCGAGTCGAAGATTTGGTTGTACACCACTTGTATGTGCCGGATACCATTGTGTCAAATTTTTTCTGAAATTAACTTTAAAAGTACTAAGTAAGATCATGAGATATAGCAATATATGTTTAAACCAACTTATATTTTGGTTGTACACCACTTGTATGTGCCGGATACCATTGTGTCAAATTTTTTCTGAAATTAACTTTAAAAGTACTAAGTAAGATTATGAGATATAGCAATATATGTTTAAACCAACTTATATTTTGGTTGTACACCACTTGTATGTGCCGGATACCATTGTGTCAAATTTTTTCTGAAATTAACTTTAAAAGTACTAAGTAAGATCATGAGATATAGCAATATATGTTTAAACCAACTTATATTTTGGTTGTACACCACTTGTATGTGCCGGATACCATTGTGTCAAATTTTTTCTGAAATTAACTTTAAAAGTACTAAGTAAGATCATGAGATATAGCAATATATGTTTAAACCAACTTATATTTTGGTTGTACACCACTTGTATGTGCCGGATACCATTGTGTCAAATTTTTTCTGAAATTAACTTTAAAAGTACTAAGTAAGATCATTTATTTTTGCATAATATAATGCCAATATGGTTTCTTTTGATTTTATTTCATTTATAAGCAAATCAGATTTACCCAAAAACTCCACTCCATAAGCGTTCATTAGTTAGTATACATATCATGTGTACGGCGACACTGCGTTCCACCTTACCCAAGATAACGGTTTGACACTTTACAAAACTACTAACGTATATTTTACAACACAAACGACTTCACTAATGAAAAATAAACGTTCTCACTAACGTTCCCACTAATGTTCTCACTTACAAAAGTATTGCAGCGCTTCCCATTGCTGTGCTTCACACAATAGTTCATATTCTTCAGTATCGCTGCTGTCACTCCAATCGTCAGAGTCAAAGTCACTGTCAAAATAAATGTTAGTAAGTTTTGACAAAGCTAATGAAACACGCTTACCGTTTGTATCTATTGCTTTTATATATCTCCCATTATGTTTGTTGTCATAAACGCTCAAACTAACTTTACCCTTTCTCCCTCGTATCTGATAGAATGTATTTTCACGAGGAACGAAGAACAAATTCTTGAACTCATGACCGTTGTAGTTTGTTATCTCAATAGTTTTCGTCATTTACATCCAAATAAAATAAAAAATAAAATAAAAAAATAAAATAAAAAATTAATGATATCACCACCCTCACACGTATGAAAACATAGCACAAAAATAAATTTAGGTGAAGCGGTGAGATCTCACCTCTTTTTTCACCTGTTTTTTCACCCTGTTGAATTCATTGCTTTATAACTCTCTTCCTTTCTCCAACTCTTCTAACTTCTTCCTAAGTTCAGCAATGTTGTCCTCATGAAGTTTAATCTTTCTCAAAATTCCTTCTTTATCTAATGGTTGCTTTATCTTTCTAAACTGAACTCTACCATCCTTCATAGTATGAATGTAAAAACCTTCTGGAATAGTTCCTGATTTAATGTATTCTACCAAAAACTTTTGTTTCATTGCTTCAGTGACTTTATTTGTCATTTCAATCAAATAAAAATTTTAATATTAAATAAAAATAACGTTATTTTTTCAGTAAGGAAACGCAGGAGTTTTACGATTTATTTGAGGAGTAGGTTCTGGTTTAAATGTTGGAGTCGGTTTAGGAGTTGACTTTTGAACAGGAGTTTGTACTTCCATAGGTTCAGGAGTCATTGAAGGTTTTGCTTGTGAAGGTTGAGTTTGTTTAACTTCAGCTACTTCAGTATTATTTACAACATTTGCTTTATTTCTTTTCAACATCAACTGCTCCTGCTGTAGCTAGCAAACCTAGTGGGAGACCATATTTTATATAAGGACTTGACCAAATGCTATTTTTGACAGGAGCTGGTGGAACACCTAACCTTGGTGAAACTGCTCTTTGCCATTGTGCAGCTCGTAAGAAATATTCAATAGGTGCTCCATAATCGTTTGGTAAAGTTTGTTTCATAGATGGTGAAGGTTCACGAGAGCTTGATGAAGAACTCATTTATAAGCTTTAAAAATAAACGTTCATCCTTTATTCCTCACTGTCGTCCGTAGCTAAGTTATAGTCATCTAATCTTATTATGGGGATTCCATTAGCACGCACCTGAATGGCAAAGCAACAATCCCTCATAAATCCAATAAGTGGCTTTGGTACATTTTCAGTTGCTAGTTCAATAGGTCCTTTAACAGACAATTTGTATGTTATTGGAGCAGTAGATGTTTGACCTTGCTGGAAGCAAAAGTCCACTTCTGTTGGAAAACCACATAAGAAATGTGTGTTGTCATAACTATCCCATTTATGTTCCACACTACCATCATCCACCAATGACCTCATAACATCTTCATTAAATCCTATCATATCATTGTTTGTATTGCAAGCGTTCGCAACCATTTCATAAAATACAGGTCCATATGATTTTTCGGGTTCTGCAGGCATATTTCCATAAGCTCCCATGGAAAGCTAAAGAAATATTTAAACTTAGGGTTCTCAAAATTAACATAATAGTTGTCTTTCTTTCTAAATAGTGCCCAAATACTTTTAACATTAATAGGCGTATAAGCTGCTGTAAATGTTGCACTTGAACTATCTGTATTCTTTGAGAATGAACCGTCCATAGGAATCCAATCCATAACTTTAACAGGAAAACATAAAGCCTCGTTTGTATAATGTTCTACAAGTTCTGTATAAATGTTAGGGTCTAAAGAGAATGACTTTGGATGAATGAAACATTCATTAAAATCCATCTTTGTTCGAAATAGTTGCTGGGTTACAGTTGTAATAGTAACTGTTCCACTAGCTTCTACTGCCTTCGTTATCATAGTGAATGGTTCATTCCATGGAACAAATTTATTTGTCGGTGGATTTGAATCTGAAGCAAATGCAACTTTAAGAGTTGGATTGAAAGCAATGATATCATTTACAGATATAGATGTGCATTGTAAGGCGTCGCTACTGAACTTTACTTTAAGCTGAATGTTTCCTGCAAAAGCTGGAATAAATCGAATAGCTTCTAATGGAAGGAATCTTCTAACAGGAATTCTTAAACGAAGCTTAAAATCAAATGATTTTCCTGCTGTAATTGGACCACTAACAATTTGTCCTGTTCTGCATGTTCCCGAATGACTCCATACATCTTCATGTCGAGTCTTTGAGAAAACATCTACTTTCTTTATTTGTTCGGTAGTTTGTGAGTTTGAAGTTATATATGCTTCTTCTCTTGCGTTGTCTTGAGAATATACGATACGACCATTTGCAAGGATTTGATATCCAGCAACTGCATAGAAAGCGTCATCGAAACCAATCCAAAATCCTGGTGGGTTTGTTTTATTGGAACCTGAACCAATTTCTTTATCTACAATAAATTGACCTTCCATTTTATACGTAATGAATGTATTGTAAAGGTCCAACATATTTTCACCAGGAGGTGAGAGATTGAATGTTACCCATGTGTTATCTTTAGCAGTTCCAGGTTGTGATGGAATCTTTGCGTCAGAATATTTTCTATTAGTGTCACCAATTTGAACTGCATTGTCTATGATATCGAAATATGAGCGAATCTGATGAATATGCTCTGCTGGAGTAAATTCGTTTAACTGTTCGTTCTGCATGTATTTACTTCGGATAAAAATATCTATTTACTTCATTATTCTCACTCTTCTTCTTGGCATTCGTGGTGGAAGTTGTTTCTTGACATTTTCAATGAACTGTACATTCTCTTTTGTCTCAACTTCTTTCACTGGTGGGTCAGGGTTCTTTGACTCGGTTTGCTTTTCAATGAAATTCACAAACTTTGCAATAAGCTCTTGGTTCGTTATTGAAAGTACATCTGGCTTCTTTTCTTCTTGTTCTATTGACTTTTCAGTTTGAATAGAAGGCTTAACGTGGACTTCACCCTTGCCATACACCTTAATGTTGTCGCTTTCTGCATTCGCTAATGGAACCTTTCTTTTTCTTACGTATATTTTACCATCTTTACTCTGACTTACGTAATAGAAAGGATGTTGTATTCCTCTGGCGTCATTTAATATAATAGACTCTCGCTCTGATTTTGACAAGCTCATTTTACATCGGTTAAAGTTTTAATTTTGTTTTTTATCTGCAGTCAAATGACTCAGACAAGCCCTACGGACAAGACCCAAGGGGTCATAGATGTTGAAGCATTGAAGAAAGAAATTCGTGAGCAAATTTTATCCGAACTGAAGGAACAAAAACAAGAACAAAAGCCAGAGAGACCAAAGAGAAAACTTAGTGAAAAACAACTTGCTGCATTAGCTGCTGGAAGACAAAAGAACCCACGTTTGCTGGCGAAGAAAGCTAGAGAAGAAGCTGAAGCAAAAGCTAAAGAAGCTGAAGCAAAGAAAGAGTAAATGGTTTATTTTTATCCGAATTAAATGTATAGACAAATACCTTTATCTGTTGCGTTCAGTAGTGAAAACCCTGACGTCAAAATAAAGGGGAACAGAGTAACGTTTAAGTTTCCAACAGACTGGATTGTGAACATAAATGAAGAGAAGTACATTGCATAACATCTATGATATAACACGTGCTTTCAGAAAGGTTGACTTTATACTTCAAGTCGAGATTAGAAAATGACGAACAGTCTTTAAGCGCCCAAAACATTCACATATACAAATACTTTAAAGACGATACAACATTGTTGCAATGTATGATGATTTCATTTAATGAGATGTTCGAGAAAAAAGTTCAACATTGAAGTACAAACTTTACAGCCTTTACGTGAGTTTCTTGCACAACTGAAGGAAGAAGGTAGTCGGCCACAACTTATAGACTTTCATTATGAATTTAATGAAAATGAAGATGGAACTCATGACTGTCAATTCATTGTATTCTCACCATTCAATGAAGTAGCTAAAAGAAGAAAAAAATCCATTACGTATAAGATTTCAAATCTCTGAACCAAATGATGACTTCAAAAATGTTTTCAATTATTATGCAATGCTTCCGAGGAAAAATGAATTTTCAAAGATTGTAACACCTGGCATTTGGGATAGAAAGCAAGCTATATTATATTCAAACTTAAGTAAGGGAGTTGAAAATGAGTTCATTGGTCATACAAGAACTTCACCACTGCCAAATCCTAAGTATTACAAGCTTACTGGCTTCAATCGTGAGTTTTGGATAGACATGTTCTCCACTCATGACCATAAAGCACCTTTTTGCTACCTCCAGACCATAAGGACTGTCTCTACATTGAAGCACAACTCTTAAACTCTACCATCGCAGTATTGTAAATGACCTCATGGGCTTCGCCCTTGCCGCTAGCGGCTTATTTTTATCACGAATGACCTCATTGCTGACAAAAATAAATGACCTCAGAACTTCAACTTACGAATAAAGCTTGTTTTAGTCGTTATTGAGAAGTTAAACTTCTCGTCAAATGCAGGTGTAGCAGACTTACATAAGTCAAATCCAATCTCTTGACCGTCATAAAGTGCTTTGTAAGTTTCATTAAACTGAACTCAGAGTCTTTGTCAAATTTTCCTTGCGGAACCATTAAACCTTTATCTTCATCATAGAAACACTGAACAGAGTCAGGAAACATTTCATTAGCGGTTAAAGCAATAACATCTTGCTTCACGCCTTTCATTCTGCAGTGAAATGCAACTTCATTTAAATCATTCGTGAGTAAGTCTATGTAAGTCTTCTTTCCACAAAATATTGACTTGTATGCTAAACTTTGTTTTCCAGGTGTGATTTCTGCAAAGTCGCTATGAAATTGACCAAGGTTTTTACCAATGAGAACTCTTCCATAACGTTTCTCAAACTCTTCAGCTAAACGAGGGATATCTTCATTGTAGAGATGCATACTGTCGGTATCGCTATAAAAGATGTCCATTCCTAAGTCCTCAGCAGTACAGAATACTTCACACATTATTCTCTTCGACATAGACAGAATGTTAACACCAAGTGGACAGAAGTTAAAGTGTCTGCAAATACTTTTCGTTAGCTTGAAAATAGTTTTATCTGAACCATCCAAACCTTCGAACTTCACTATATGGTTGTAGTTTCTGATGGCATATCTTATAGCATCTTTGTCATTTACTATGGTTATTTTTGACTCAATAGGAGATAGAATAGTTTTGCCATAAATACTGTTCAGAATGAGCTTTATATTTTCTTGCAAAGGATTTCCTTCTTTCTTATACTTTAACCTTAACTCAAACAACTTCTTTACTTCATCTCTTATTCTAATATCTCTGTTTCCATCGTAATAGTATCCTTGCAACACTTCACATTTGACACCTTGATATTTTATGAGGTCTTGTAATGTTATATGGTCAACATACATTAAACAGCAAGTGTTTGAACTTCTGGGAACATTAAGTTCTGGATTTAGTTCAGGGTCACAAACTATTAAAGGAAAGTGTCTATGTATTCCAATCTCTGTTATCTTAATGAGAACAAAGAAGCCAGACATAAACTTTTCACCAATGGGTTCCTTTTGGTCGTCATCGAATAAATGTCTCATGAGATACTCTGTGCTTAACATTTCTTTCTTCATAACCTTTGGAATACCTTCTAAAGTATAAAGTCTTGCTATAGCGGATGGATATAATGAAACAGCGTCGAAATCAGCAATGAGTTTCTTTTCGCTCTTTTGTTTAATGTTATCTGACAACATACATCTTCCACCTTGAATGCATCTCGAAATAAATTCTCTTGGTTTATTTGAGAGGTCATATAAATTTCCATTCGGGAAGTACACTCTGTTCTCAAACAATTTGTTAGCAATAGAACAAATACTAACGTAGTCATAAACGTTTAAATCAAATTCTTTCAATATGTCATTGCGGAACTTAACAAAACCTTCTCTTAAAATTCTTACATCTTGTTTGCAATAAAATGTGCTATACTTTTCTAAGTCGAAGTGGTTCTCATCTATTCTGCAACCTTTGATGGAATCTATGTTCTTCATGAACGTATCTGCATCCTTGAAACTTACATGCTTCAGAAATGACACCAGTTCTGTTGTCATTTGCTAACAAAACACTGCTGTAGTAGTTATATGGAAATACTTCTTTCGGTCCTGTTTGTAAGTTAAACATAGCAGGAAATAGTTTAAGCTTCTTATTTATAACACTGTAAGAGTCTTTTATAATAATTGCCTCTTCCTTATATAAGCCAGTTATTTGCATTGTTCGTGAACCTTTAATGATTGGGAGTTTCCTTTCACTTCTGTCATGTGTCTTAAGATGAAGTTTATATCATAACTGAGGTTATGGAAAATATATTAAACTCTTGTCAGGAAGTCGTTCCAAAAATTCTGTTGCACAGTTCTGACCCCAAATGCTTTCACTCACTGAACCATCTTCACTGTCGTACATATGTTAAAGCTTTATGAAAGCCGTCTGGTACTCACACAAAGTCAGCAAAGAAAACATGCTCAGGAATGAACTTGCACTTATTTTTATTTACTTCTTTTGACTCTGCTTTCTTCTTCAGTTGTACACAATACTTTGGAGCATATGTCAAATCTTTAAATGGTGCAAGGTTCTGTTTATATAAGTCAGTCGTATATGTGAAAAGTTCTCCATAAGAAATAGGTTCGAAATATTTGCACTCCCACAATGTTTTCATAACATTCCATAACGGTGTTGTTCTATCATAACGAACTACATATTTGTTCTCTCTCTTTGTATATATTTTCATCTGTTTTCAATGTTCATTCCACCACAAGCTTTGAGAATTTCTATATAGTTGCGAATGAAATATGTTGTCATTGGTAATCTTTCGTTTAGCATGTAGTGGTCTTCAACAAGAAGTAAGTCAATAGTTCGAACAGTTTCACATTCTTTTGGTATGTATCTCTTTATTTCATTATGTCTTGAGTCATTGAAGTAACCAATGGTAACATTAAATGCTATACCTGTTGCGTCAGAAATTTCTTGTACTTTACTTTGAGGAAAGTCTCTAACACGAATGACTTCTCTCATGTGGTCAATAGTTTCTTCATCTACTCCAGCCTGAATGCAAGCATAAACGAAACAATTGTCTTCTGTCATAAGTGTTGCAGTTCTTTTGTTCAGTTCATTGAAGATTTGGTAGCGTTCAAGATTTATAGGTAATGTGCAAAGATACTTCCAGAACTGACCGCTTCTCTTCTTATAAAACTTCTTTTCACCATTATCTTTCCAAAAGCTTTCTATAAGTGCTGGGTTTCCTGTTTGCTTAAGAGCTTCCAAAATGGCTTTCTGGTCATTTGTCAGTGTGCTTTCATCTCTATATGGTCTCTTTTTTGGTTTGCCTTTCTTTACATCTGACATCGTTAAGCCTTCATATTCTGTTAAATCATACATCTTTATTTCGGTAAGATTCTTTATGTTTGTCAAGAAGAAGTCATAGTGCATTTCAACAATACCTGCAGCATTTGCTTCTATCTCTGATATAAAGTTCTCCTTCAAGAGCTGATGTAGTAGTGTTCCAATATTATTGAGGTTTAACGTAGAACATTCATACTTTCCACCAAGTTTATAACATACCATCCATCTCTGTTGTGAGTTTATTTTAATTTTCTCTAAGAGTCTCATGAAAACCTTACCGAAATGTTTGTGTAAGTAGTCTCTGTTTGGTTCATCTAAAGCTTCGATGTTAAAGTCAATGAGTCTATTGCCTGACTTCACATTTCTCTTCCTATTCTCTTCATCTTTCTTTAACCATCTCTCACCTTCTTTTGGTTTGTCGTCAATGGAACGAATGACATCGTTAGCTTTACGAACTTGTTCTATAGCACTTTTAAACATCTCTCTTCTCTGTTGTTTCAGTGTGTCGTCTCTTCTTCTTGTTTCACCAACGTTTGCATTTGTTATGTCAAACATCTCTTGACGAACATCATGCGAAAGAGCTTTACGAGTATGACCAACGTTTGCATTTGTTATGTCAAACATCTCTTGACGAACATCATGCGAAAGAGCTTTACGAGTATGACCAACGTTTGCATTTGTTATGTCAAACATCTCACGCCTTACTTCATGAGGTATTGAACGTCTATGATATAAGTCAATAGCAACGTCATTTAAAGGAAATGTTTTGTTATTAATGAACTCATGAATTCTATCATAACTTATTGCACCATTGTAGTCTTTAATGAAGTCAGCGAGTGCTTTTTTGTTTGTTGCGTAATGCTTTGCAACATCTATGTTAGCTTCTGTAAGAAGTTGTTTTATTTCCGAGTGTTCTAACTTAGACAACTTCCGATACATCTTTAGTAGGAAATAAAAAAAATATTTTTGAAAAAATTAGATTAGATTTTTTTTAAGTTATTTTTCAAAATAATTTAATATTTTTATTTTAATGAAACACATGCAAGATTGCAAGTTCTTTTCATACAATGCTCTCGCTAATGCCATCAAGAATGAGTTCAATAATGCTTCAAATGTTAATGTTATCTTTAACAAGAAGTTTGTGAAAGAATCTAAGTTTGGTCAGTATGTCAGACCATTAGCTATCGTCATTGACCGCAAACGTTATACTTCACAAGAGTTAGCAGTAGTTTTGAAACAAAAGAGTTTCTTCGTGAATGTCAAAGATACTCATTATACTGTCATAAAGAACTCTAACATTGACTTCTTCAGTATTGCTATGAATCTTTCCGAACAGAAAGAATATAAGAAGGGTGAAACAAATGTGAAATATTATCCTTCATCTCTGAAGACAATAACGAACAAAGATGTTATACAGAAATTCTTACCAAAGGTTGAAGAAGCTTCAATTGACATTGACGAAGGAAGTGAAATGGTTGAAGAAATAGACCCTGAAGCTATTTAAGCAAAAATATATTTTTGGTTAGTCTTCATATCGATATTTTACAACAATTCCCCAATGTATAAACTTTTCATACGCTTTTTCATAAGCTTTATATACCTTCAGAAATTTTGCATAATCTTTAGAAGCATTTAGATATTGTTTAAATGCTTTGTATGTCTTCATAAATTTTGCATAATCTTTTACATGCTGTTCGTTCTCCTCTTCTGTCATGAGTTCCGAATATTCTAAATTCATGTTCTTTCATATGAGATAAAATTTTATAAAAAAAAAAATAAAATTAGCTTAGATTTTTTTATTCTTCCTCTTTGAAGTTGTCGAAATATTCTGTTATTTTTTCCTTTAACAATGGTAAGTCTTCTTTGAATGTAAGTATTGTACAACCTTTGATGTCATAGTGTGTTTGAGGAAGAGTATTTTTGACAATTTCCTTTATTTGCTCATTCGGTGTCATTGAAATCGGTAAGTTTTCACGATAGAACCAGTTTCTGTCAGATTTGTAAATCTTAGCAAGGTCATAAAAGCTTTTGTTGTTTCTTCTGACTAAATGCAACATAACCATATCTTTATCTTCTTCATTTTCCATCTCTTCAGTATATATCATATACTTATAACTCTTTTCCTTTCCTTTTGGTACTGAACGCGGTATTCTTTTCTGTATGCTTTTGTCTTTGGATTCAATGACTTCATCTTTTGCTTGAAGTTTCTTTTCCATCTGTTCACGTTCTTGTCTGTGAATTTCGTCAAGAAGTTTACAAACATACCAAGCATAACGAGGCGAAGCCCACATTGCAACAGCATTTACAAGAAGTCTATGTACATAATATCCTCTTAAATTTATTGGCAAATTTTTACGATTTTCATGTGTTTTATGCATGGCCGATAAAAGTCGGTCTAGAGAAATTTCACTGTTTTCATGAGTTTTAGGCGACCCTGAAGGAAGTCGGTCTCGCTGTTCTTCACTGTTTTCAGAAAAAAGTATGTCTCGCTGTGCTTCGCTCAAAAGTTCTTGTGTGCTTTGGTTTTTGAACCAATCGTCTGCGTGTTTGGTATCTGGAGCAAAACATGCTGTCAAAATACTTTGCATTTGGTACATATCGTCTTTGACTGAACGAATGAGACAACTGTTTGTTATACTGTATGTACTCGTATTCTTCATTTATGGCTTCATGAACGATAGCATTGTTGTGTTCTCTGATGTTGTCATTACTGTCTTTACATACAAAATAAAAAAATAAATAAAAATAAAATTAGCGTTATTTTTTCTGAGATAAACACTATTTCTTCACAACATTAAATTTTATCCTGTATGAAATGACTTTAAAAAGATTATTGACTGACTTCGAATACTATCTCATTGACGCACTGACAGACCCTCAAAACTGTGTTGAAAGTTCTTTAAGCTTTAAGATTGAAGGTACGACGCATTTTGTCTTCACTTACGTATTGAAAGAATATGACCGTTATCATAACGAAGTGAATCAAACACTAATAAAATTTGTAGATAAAAAATTGGTTAACAATGAATATTTTAAACGTGAAGACCCAAACACTGCTGGAGATGATGAAGAATACAGACAAGCTATTGAAAAAAATAACGCAAGATTAGATGCAATAGAAAAGAATTTTAATGAATGTCTTACAAACACGTATGAATATCTTATGCGGTGGGAAGCTAGATGGAAATAAATTTACGTCAAATATGCAATTTATAAAATCTTATGTCGACAGGCTACGTAGCACAGTGGTCTAAGGTGGTGTTATGGAGGGGTCAGAGTCTGTGGTTCGAACCGCGACAGCGCCGTATTTTCTTATTTTCTTTGTTTGTCTTGTTTGTCGTGAATAAAAAGTGTCATAAAAGTGCTCTATCTTCCACGGGAATAAATAAAAAATTTACTTTATTTCTTCTTTATTTCTTTATTCCCGTGGAAGAAGGGTTTTGCTGTTTTTTCTCAGCCGAAATCAATGATTTTTTCATTTTTGGAATCCTTAGCGAATGAGGAATCTTTTCTCTCGTGGAAGCTTTGAACAAAAATATAATTTAGGTGAAGAGGTGAGATCTCACCTAATTTTTCACCTAATTTTTCACCCCTTGAACTTTTTATAACATTCGGTCATAACTTCATCAATTTCATTTAAATCACGATTTAAAAACTCATTGACTTCATCTTCAACCGTGTCATCTTGTAATAAGAATATTTTCTTTAGTTTCATGTCAACATCCCGAACAGCACAAAGGATAAAATCATATTCATTTCTTCCGTTAAACATACTTTTTCTTTCTCGTTCATCGTTAAATAAATTATTGAAAATATAAACAGCGGTGTAAAAGTTATGTACTGTGTTAAATGTTGAAGCTTCACCTATTTTAGATTTTAGGATTCTTTTAGTAAGTAAATTGTTATCGTTCTTTCTCTTTTCCTTATCGTTCATGTCGAATCTGTCGAACCACATATCCTGTATTTCATCGAATTTACGAACTATAGAATCCGTCATTTCCCTGGTTAATGAGGGGTAATCATTATTAATTTTTTCATATAATTTGTCCATATGATTTTCATCGACGTTTCCGGAAAGCATTTAATTAAAGCAAAAATATTTAGGTGAAGAGGTGAGATCTCACCTCTTTTTTCACCCCAGTTTTTTCACAAGCGTTTTACATGAATTGTACGATGTATATTTGAAATCCTAAACAATTTCGTAGCTTCTATTTCTTCTGTCAGTATGTCAAAAGTTTTAACAATACCGAAGGTTTCTTTATACTTCTTCTTGACGTCAGATAGAAGGAAATCTTCTGCTGTTGGATAGTTTTTGTTCAGAAATTCTAACATGTTCATTTTATCTTCTGCTGGCTTTTCTGCTTCTTTCTTTAAGTCTGCATAGTCGTTTCTATTCTTTCTATCTCTTTGACTGAGTAGTTATATTTCCTAATTGCTGCCTTACATTTTGAACATTGCGGGTTCATTTTTGCGTTATACATTGAAATAAAACCAGCTAAAACAACTAAGGCGTCAATGGTTTTCTTCATCTCAAACATAGCGGGTCTTATTTGTTCGTTCCATACTTTGCCTCTTCTATCTTTATCTCTTATTTCCCAAACACATTTTGCAACTAATGAAACAAAGTTGTCGTAGGTCTTAAATTCTTCAGATTTATATATGTCAGAAACATTCTTATATACCATGTCGCAATCTTTGTCCATAACCTTATGGTTGCAATGAAAACCAAGGAATTCATAATTTACTTTACGTATGAACTTCTTTATTTCTACTGAGTCAGTTGGTTTCACTTCAATTTCGTCGAATTCAGGAATAGTGAGTTTTTGTTGTTGGATTTCAGGCAATTTGGGTAAATGGTCAATAATGTCCTGCATTTCATAAAGATATTCTTCATTTTCTTCATCTTTCGCACTACAGTCTAAATTACTTGTTAAAAGTTCTTGCTTTATCTTCTGGATTTCTGTTTCAAAAGTATATGAAGAAGGAATGAAGTTTTTCATCTCTACTAACATTGACGTAGGATTCATGACTAACGAGTTTGGTGCTGTTGTTGTGGACAGAGTCCCGCCGTTCGCGGCTTGAATTGTTGTTGTGCCGATTGTTGAAATCATATCTTTTATACAAAATAAAAAAATAAAAAAAAATAAAACTAACTTTATTTTTGGTCTTTTGTGAAAATTCATGAAAATTCAAGAGGTTAGAAATGAGGTGAAAAAACAGGTGAGATCTCACCTCTTCACCTAAAATATATTTTTTGGTGAATTCAATAAAAATAAATGGTTCATTTACTCACAATATTTTTTTACAAAACGACCCCAAACTTTTAACTTCTTTTCTGCAGCTTCAAATGCTATCTTAGCGAGTTCATATTCTCTAAATTCTCTCTTTAAATCTTCTTGTTCCCATTGGTCTAGTTCGTATGGAGAATCTCTATAACCATAATATATCTCACGTTCATGTTCTAATTGTTTTTCACACATTTTTCCAACTTCTTCTTCAAACAAATGTTTAGCATTCTCTACTGTATCTTCGAGTTCTTTTTCATCTAACTTCTCATGAACTTTCTTGTCTATGGAGTCCATAATATCTTTGACATAAAATGCATACTTTACAGAGCACCATTCAGCAACAAAATGAACGAGGTCAGCATGTATGTAAATACCTTTGAATTCATTCATAACGCCCTTAGTAAGCTCATAAAATGCTTGTTTTGAGGTTGAGCCACTTTTGGCTCGACCGTATTCTTTCAACCAAAACTCAAGAATTTCCTGCATTTTAGCACTATTGAGAAATCTGTTTAAATGGTTTAACTTTCCTGCTTCTCTTGCCATCTTTGTTGCATTAATGTAACCATCCTTGTCTCTACGTAAGACTTCAATACCGTTATAAGTGCCTTTTGTGAATGTTTCGCCATTAGATTTGTTCGTGAATGTTTTTGCTTCGACTGACATTTCTGTTCTTACATACAAAATAAAAAAAATAAAAAAAAATAAAACTAACTTTATTTTTTATTTCGGGAAAATTCATGAAAATTCACGGGGTGAAAAAAGAGGTGAGATCTCACCTCTTCACCTAAACATTATTTTTGTCTGATTTACATCTAATGAAAAAGTTTAGAAGAATTTTCTTATTCTTTCTGGCATATTTTTGTCTTTCCAGTACTCCCGCTCTAATGGTCCCAGATGTGTTGGCTTCGACTCTCTCAAGTTCTTAGATGGTATAACATCTTCAACGCCTCCTTCATATCTTACTTTATAAGTGTCATCGTTTGTGTTATAGCCAAGTATTTCAATAACCACTCCTCGCTTTGCTTCGTCAATGGTTTCAGCAAGTTTGCCATTACTACTTTCGACTAATTTATGTCGAGGATAAAACGCAATAGAGTCGTCGGCAGCTTTTATAAGATATCCATTACCTTGCGTAGAGTCTACGATATAATAATTTCGACTTAACCTTAAACGTTTCTTTGTCAACGGTTTGTCGTCAAGAACTACACGAACTTTTGTACCAGGAATGAGGGTAAATTGTGTTGAATTTCTGATATTTTGTGTTTGGCTTCGTTTCTTTTGTATATACTTTTCTTCTTGTTGTTGTGTCATTGAATTTGGTGTATGTCCTGTTGTAGAATGTGTTGAGGAATTATATACTTCGAGAAAATGTTTCATTGTTTCTTCGGTAAAGTCTCGCTCTTGGTTTAAATCTCTGAGAGTCCTTATGAAGCGGTTTATGATGCCGAGTATGTTATGGTTATGGTCTTCAGTAGTGTAGTGAGTTATGTTATGCTTAATGAGAAATTCTGTGATTTCATTGCTGAGGTATGCACTGTCTTGGTCTGATGTTAAAGTACTTGGGTTATGTTCTGCTACAAACTTTTGTAAAACTCTTAACACTTCACGAGTTCCTTTATTTTTCATTGGATATGCATATGCTTTACGAGTGTTAACATTTATGAAGATGAGGAATGGTTTATGTCCTCCTTTTCTGCTTTGAATGAGAGTGTCAAATTGGTATGCGTCAGGAGTGTTGGAGTAAATTGGTAAAAAGTAGTCGTAAGGGTTTATTTTTGTTTGATGTACAACATTTTTGTCAAAGAACCTTTTCACTTCAGCTCTGTTAGTAAATCCCCGACTCTTTGCAGCTTCATTGAACTTCTTAAATGACCTCCATGGATGTTGTTCGAATACTTCTTTCAAGCTCATTTATGTAAAGTTAAAGAGTTTAACCAACTCGTATCCAAGCGTGCATTGTTATATAAGGAGGCATATAATCTTTTCCATTACCTGCTGGGTCTGTAATACCAGCTACAACATGTGTATGATTTCCTGCAGTTCCACAGAAAATACCTGTGCTTGAATCTGGGTCAGTTGAAATATCATATCTGCATTCCCTGTCTATCCGAACCCGCTGCAAGATTTGTATAACCTCTTTTTGTTATTGAATGTGAATGGTTTCCTTCCACAGATGTTCTTCCACTGAACCTATGCATATGTGAAGGAAGGTTTTCAATACCTATTTTCTTTGAACCTCCCATCTTCATTGACTGCGTATTAGTGTAGAATGGAAAACTGTCAACTATTTCATACCATCTACCACCAAATAAAGTGTTTGGATTTATTGGATTCATAGACGTATAAACAGCTCCTATAGGATATATTAAATCATATATGCTCATAACTCTATAAACATATTCTAAAGAACTTATGTCATTAAATACCATTTGGAATGTATCTCCCGGATGAAATGTTGCATTTGTTCCACTTTTATAATGTAATGTTAGTTCAATAGAATTATCCAAGAAAAATTCAAAAGTATCTGGTTGAAGACCTCTAACAAATTCAAATGGAGTTGCTGGTTCACCATTTATAATTTCTGTTGTAAATGTCATTGTATCTGGTTTCGAAAATTTCTTTGTTAGTTCTGCATCCACATAAGTTTTATCTGCTTTCTTATCTAACATTGTTGGTAGTTCATGTGCTTCAAAGTTTCTGGCATGACTTTCAATGTTCAACTGTTATCTAAAGTTTAGAGTATCTTTTACGCTTGTACTTGGATTTCTAATGGTGCACTTGAACCAAGGTCAAAGTTCAATATTATGTCGTCTGCTCTAACAGTAGTGAAGGATTTATGTGTATGGTTCTTGTCAGCTTTACTGTCTAATGTAGCTTGAAGTTCATTTATATCGGAGATGTTGTGTTTATGAGATTTCAAAACTTTGTTCATTGCTTCGAGTTCAACTTTGTCAGCTTTACTTTTAATAGCATCTTCAAACGTTATTTTTGCCTTAACTCTCAAAGTAAATCTTGGTTCAACTAATACACCGTTAACATTGAAAGTAGAGGCATAAATTTCACCGGTATAACCAAATGCTTCTGGTGCTTTAGCTACATCATACTGTACAGTACAGCTTATGTCATAACCTTTAGCACGAATGTATTTATATCTTCTTTCATTAACATTTTTTGTCTTCGCTTCATCACTTCGTGTTAAATATCCATGGTAGTCCGTTATAATCTGTTCGTCTGAAGTTATATAATGAACATGGTTCTTGTCCGCTTTACTATTTAATGTAGCTTGAAGTTCATTTATATCGGAGATGTTGTGTTTATGAGATTTCAAAACTTTGTTCATTGCGTCAAGTTCATTTTTGTCCGCTTTACTATTTAATGTAGCTTGAAGTTCATTTATATCGGAGATATTGTGTTTATGTTCTTTATCTGCTTTTTCGGCTAATTTCTCTTCTATCTCATTTATTTCAAGTTCATGCCTACCACCACCTCCCGAAGAAGTATTTTTCTTCAGCTCTTGAAGAACGTCCACTTCGCCATCTTTGGTGTCAATAATGAGACTTTGTGTTAAAACCTTTCCTGTCTTAATGGATGTTTGTAAAACTTCTTCTTCACCGTGTTCGGGGTCATGGTCGTCATCATATCTTGTGAAATCAGATATGTTGTCATACATTAACATATCTGTCTCAAAAGTTCTGCTATTTGAAACTGGAACGAAAGATATACAGAACTTTCATCATCTCCTAAAGTCAAGTCTGCTTTCTTAAGTATTTCTTGAATGTATGCAATGAGAACAGAGTACCTTGGAAAATATTCGAACAATATTTCATTAGCTGTTGGTTTTGGTGGTTCTTCTGGAGTTTCTGTTGTTTCAGTTCCTTCTGTAGGTTCTGTTGGAGTTTCTGCATCTCTTGACTTCAATGCTCTTGCTCTCAAAGACCTAAATGTTAGAGCACCGGGTTTTACAAAGGACTTTATAAATGCTTTAATAGTTCCTGGTAAGTTATTGTTAGCATTAAGTAAGTTCCTTATGCTTCCATCATGTACGTCCATAGCACTATGTAAAAAATCTATACTTTTCTTGTAGTCAGCAATAGACTGACTGTGATTTTTTAAAGATTTGTCAATACCTTTAAGCCAATCTTCATGCATGTCTGATACTGAGCCAAGAATATCATTTGCTTCCTTTAGTGTATTTTGTGCTTGTCGTAAAGTATCCAATCCCGTACGTGCATTGTTTGCTATACGTCTTACAGTATCTATTTGACTCCTTGTTTCTTGCATCCAACCAGATAAAGTTTTAATAGTATCCGAACCATTTGAAATGAAGTTCAAAGCATTTTTAACGTCATTTAAAACTTCTTCACCAAGTACCGCCCATATCTTTCCGATTTGGTATTGAAGAACTCCATATGAAGCAGCTGTTAAACCAGTATTTATAAGGTCCCATATCCATGATTTAGCAGTTTTTCCATCCTTTCCATCCTTTCCATCCAAACCGTTTTCGCCTTGAGGTTCCTTGTATTCCTTGTATTCCTTGTGGTCCTTGAGGTCCGGTGTCACCCTTCTCTCCTTTCAGTTCATCTTTATGTTCGTTATAATATTCTAATGTCATAAGGTGTACATCATTACTGCTACCAGCAACGCCAAGAATTTGTTTCTCATTCATGACTAAATTCTTTAGGCATTTAATGTTGTCGTCAAATCGAAAGCTCTTTAACAATTCAATGAGAACATTTAATACTTTCACTAATGAGGCATCTACTGTAGAATTTATATATTGCACCGTTCCATCATTTATGATAGGAACCTTGCTTGTTGTAATGAATGGGTCATAAGTGTTAAAAGTATCGAAATCAATGACTTTTTTAGTTTTTCCATCGTCAATGACTAAATCATTGCCTTCAATGGTTAAAGTTGAGTTTTCGTTTACTAGTTCATGTGCTCTTCTTGCTTCATTTGTTTCATACGCATATGCAGCAATAGTCATATTTTAATGAGAATAAAATGTTGTTCTATTTGCAAAGTACAGACCCAAACGAATATGGAACAGTAAAGCTTCAAACAAACTTAGGTCTACAGAATGAAGCACTTGCTTTCAGAGTTGTTGACTTCAATACTATCGCAACTTTTGTCATAACAGATGAAACAGATTTCATGGAGTTTGAAATAGATGGAAAGAAGCACGAAATAAGATTTCACAATAATGTAGAATATAAGATGGAAACATTAGCTGGAGTGTTAAATGCTCTCATAAATACTACAATAAACAAGGATAACGAAGAAAACTTAATGAATGTTAAACTTATTGCAGGAGTTTTGAAGTTCAGTTATGTGAAGGAGTTTAAGATAACACGAATGAGTCATAGAGTTCAATTGCTTCTGGGAGCATACCATATGACATTTCCTTTGAAAAGTGTTGACAAAACGATTGAGATGAAATCTGTTCCATACGTATGTTATGGTAATTGTTTGTACATTGAGTCTAAAATAGCTAATGTCACAGGTATTTCAGGAGTTAATAGTAAAGGTTCAGTAGAATATAAGTCTTTCTGTTATGCAGTCAATTCAATGTTCATTCCAAACGTTCCTGTCATAGCAACTCATTTAGGTAAATGGTTCGCATTAGTCCTCATAATTTGAAAGACATGCAATTCAGACTTGTTGACTTTCAAGGAGAGCCTGTAGAACTGAAGGCACCAGTGCGAATGACTGTTGAAGTTGACTTTTTAGAAAATATTAAATGCAACAGCTTACAAGAGAACTCAGAGCTAAAAATATAAAGTATGAATGTTATGTATTAGGTCATGAACTTTGGTTGTTGCTGTTTGATGAAACAAATGAATTAGTTATGTCAGTCAAGAGAACAGAAAAAGGCGTCAAAGGCGCCGAGCGCAAAGCGCTATATTGTGTTAGTGAAAACTGCACCAAGTCAATAAGATTAGGTTTGCATTATGAAGATGAGTTCGATACTGTTGAAGAAGTTTTGGATAGATATTACAAATTGCTTTAATTTACTAAAACATATTTCAAGCAAAGTTTATATTCTGTTGAAAGTTTTGTATATTCATTCGAATATTTATACTTAAACTCAACTCCTGTAGTTCCTGGTGTTTCAATGATGCGGATGTTACCTATTTTCATGAATGGTGGCGTTTGACCACAGCATTCGATTTCAGGGTCGAGATAGTCAATGACACATTGTTTCCCTGTTATTCGTGATATAACATTTTCAAGGTCCTCCTTTGTTAGAATTATTTGGTTCTTGCTTATAAGATTTGTCAAAAGCTTCTTATCGTCTTTGAGTAAAATTGTTTGGTATAACTGAAGAAGGTAATGGTCTACGTTATCTGAAGGATTTGTTTGAACATTTATGTAAGGATTGTCGTTGGCTTCTCTTGAAAGAATTTGGTCCAGTGGTGGATACTCTAACTTAACATCTGATGTAGCGTTAGCGTTTGAAGCTGAGTTTAAATTCACGGATTTCAGTTCTGGTTCTTTTTCTTTCAAACACTCTGAACTATAGTTCTTTATGACAATATTGTTTGTCGTTCGTGAGTCAACATTTGATGTTGGTTCAATTGGAACATTAACGGCACCAGCTAAGATGGATTTGCTTCTCATTTCATATAGAATAAAAACCTTTTATATGTATGAAATGAACAATATACTCGACAAGGGTTTGAATGTAAAGCTAACGAATGAAAATATTGTTGAATTCACTGAGACAGGAGCTGTGTATAAAGATGTAGAACTACTGAACAAAAGAGCTAAGGGAAGAAGCAGGAACATGAACAAAGGGTGGAAGCCTATAAAAATTTATGTCAATGATGGCTCAGGAGGTTCAAACATAAAGTATGCAGAAAGTTATAGAGTTTATGCTCTCAAGGGAGAGAAGCCTTCATTTAAGAACAGCTATTCTAACACATATCCTCAAAAGCTAACGGATGGAGAAGTGGATGATATGAATGACAGCAAAAATATTAACAGAAATGGCGACAGAGATGCATGGAATTTGTTTACCATCAGTCAATTGAAGGTTAAACTTTAAAACAATGTTGGTCGTTCCCATGGAATATTTTTGACTTTAATGGTATTAGTCATGATATGAATCTCAAGGTATGAACGAGGAGAGATGAGAGACTTATATGCTTCCCAAATTTCTTCAAAAGGTAATGTTATACCTGACTGTTTCCAAATGAGTTCAATATCATAACGTGAGAAACCTTGAAAGATAACGAAGTCAGTTATGAGACGTTTTATGTTTAAAGCTAAAAACCTCCATGTTTGCATAAGTATTGCTACAGTTAAATGGTAATGTCTGACTTTAGTAATGATATTAGCTAATGGTGAGTCTGGTTTTGAAACTAAACCTTTTCCGGCGAAGTCGTCGCAAACTAACAAAGTATTTGAAGGATATTTTTTGAAGGGGTATTTTGAAAGTTTTGATAGAATGTAGTTTGTCAGTCGTTTCATATCGTAAACTCCTGAGTACTGACGTAAGTGGTGTTTGTCAATAATTCTTTCCATCTCCTCAGAAGTCTTTTGCATTCCTGACTGTATAAATTCAACGATGGCATAATATTTCCTCTTACGTCGAATGTAACGTTGAAGAAATTCAATGAGTTCACTGTCTGGAACTTTAACGACAGAGGCTTGAACTTTTGACATAAATGTTTTCGCTGTTGAATCCATAGAGTCTGAAGTTGCTGATATAATGATTTGGTCATAGTAAGAGTCGTTTCCTAAACGCTCTGTTATGAGTATATGACGAATTAAATTAAATGTCTTACCTGAACCCATCTTTCCACAATAGAAATAAACGCCATTTGAACAGAACTCATAGTCCTTACTGAAAGGAAGAATGAGAGAAGAGTTAAGTTTGTCTGTAGTTTTCATTCATGTCTTCATCTACGTCATGTATTAAATGCTTCATTTTATCTCCATTAAAAATGCAAGTCAGAAATATTCAGAACATAGCACCGAGTCTAACTGACAAGAGTATAAAGATATACTATGAACACGTTATGATGAAACCAACCAAAATTCAAGAAAGTCAGTATACTTATGAATATCCAAGGCACTGGGTAGAGTATGTAGGAGGTGAGAAAGCTATTGAAATCAGACAGGTTCGAAGTATTCCAGCAGGAAGAACAATATTATTGAAGAACTTTAATGTTTTGAGATATAATGATGAAACAAAGAAGCAAGATAGTTTTCCTGTTGCTGTGTATGTGAACCTAGACACAGGAGATGACATGAAAGTTTTTAACACAAAGCTTCAAACGGTAGTGAGAGAACAACTGACTGCGGAAGGGCATCCATTACCTTCAGAAGTTACCATAGCATATAATTTTGAAACAAACTCAATAGATTTTAAAGTCATCTCTGCAAATAAGTCAGGTTTTACATTTAATGAAGCAGATGTATATTCGAATGAAAACTTCAAAGCTATTGCATGGTTAGATAATGACGATTGCTTTAAGAAAATATTTAAATTCAGTGACTCAACGATGTCAATAGATGACCTTCGTGGAATGTTACCATCGACGTTTACAGTTGAAGGTTCAGCAGGATTGCTTACAAGATTGTCAATTGGTGGTATTTGGTCTCGTGAGAACATTGTTATAAAATCCAGTATAAGTGAATTTGCTGAAGAATCTATATTATGTCTTTCAAACTACATGTATTCGCCACCGAAGCATTATAGTATAACAAACTTTGTCAGTAAGTTTAACATAAGACTTGTCGAACCTTCTTCAATGAAAGATGTTGTGCTACCTAAAGATGGAAAGGATGGACTCATTATTGAGATGATTTTAATAGCATATTAAATGAGCTTGTTCTTGAAGGTCATTCATGATGAAATAACTGTTGTAGAAGATGTTAGCAATTGTTCAGACATTTTGAAGCGTATAGATGATATAAGAAATAAGTTAGATAGACCGCAAAGCGGTGAGGGCGAAGTCCGTGAGAACGCTTATGTTTCATTGACTTTCTCCAGTAACGAGAACTTTTATGAGATAATATTGAAGAGAGATGATTTTAATATGGTGTAAATGGTAGCTTGGGCAGTTTTAGGCGCAATGGGAACAAAAGCATTAGCATTTGGAGCAAAAGCACTTGGAGCTTATGACGCAGTAAATAAAATGAGTGGAGGAAGGGTTTCGAAGACATTAGATGCAAATAAAGGGAAGATTGGAGGCTGGGTTGCAAAGAAGTTAAGATTAAATAAAATAGGGCTCATAAATAAAGCATCCAATTTGGTTGCGACTGAGTCAGAAAATGCTTTAGGAAAGGACGATGAGTTTGCAAAACACGCAAAAGACTTTAATGACCAGATGAAAGGTGAAACAATGCATTTAAATAGAGTCGATGGAACTCTTCCTCCATCAGTAGTTCTTCCGTATGGTCCCTATGGAATGTATGGAAACCCTTACGAAAGACCATTTAACCCATTGACTGGTGGAAGTAACTGGTATCATTACGGCCGAAGAAGAAAGACAGTCAAGTTGGAGACAGACGTGAAGAAAGCAACTAAAAAGAAACCAAGGAAGAGAGTTATAAAGCAATGAATTCAACAGGGTGAAAAAAGAGGTGAAAAAAGAGGTGAGATCTCACCGCTTCACCTAAATTTATTTTTGTGCTATGTTTTCATACGTGTGAGGGTGGTGATATCATTAATTTTTAAGTTTATTTTTTTATTTTATTTTTTATTTTATTTGGATGTAAATGACGAAAACTATTGAGATAACAAACTACAACGGTCATGAGTTCAAGAATTTGTTCTTCGTTCCTCGTGAAAATACATTCTATCAGATACGAGGGAGAAAGGGTAAAGTTAGTTTGAGCGTTTATGACAACAAACATAATGGGAGATATATAAAAGCAATAGATACAAACGGTAAGCGTGTTTCATTAGCTTTGTCAAAACTTACTAACATTTATTTTGACAGTGACTTTGACTCTGACGATTGGAGTGACAGCAGCGATACTGAAGAATATGAACTATTGTGTGAAGCACAGCAATGGGAAGCGCTGCAATACTTTTGTAAGTGAGAACATTAGTGGGAACGTTAGTGAGAACGTTTATTTTTCATTAGTGAAGTCGTTTGTGTTGTAAAATATACGTTAGTAGTTTTGTAAAGTGTCAAACCGTTATCTTGGGTAAGGTGGAACGCAGTGTCGCCGTACCCAAGATATGTATACTAACTTCATTTGCTAAATTAAAAAGTGACAATGGGCTAGTCTGTCCCTTTCTCGAGTGATTTTCTCATATTTAATAATATATTTAAGTTGGCGTATCTTATGCCCTTCCAAAAATATGTATTAGAAAGATGACTTATAATTTCATAAATTATTTTGTCCCGACGGTTTGAGCGGTTATCAGAATGGTTGCTTACACAATGCGTCAGCAAAATGTCGGTTGGGGTGCCCTTCTTGGCCTCCTGAGTACTCACCAAGATACCCCAGCTCCCGCAAAACACCTCCCTTAGGTGCGCATTACCTGACGGCATTATTTTGCAATTATTTCAAATTTTTTAGATGTCTTTTGTTAAAGTTTGTTAACTAAAGACTTGAAAACAGCTTACCGCTTCAAGCTGCTCTCTTCCCGGTTCCTCTGCCGCAATCTTCTGTTTGATTGTGCGCAAAGCTCTCCTCCTTGTGAACTTTGCCTGACAGATACACCTGGGAGACAGCATTCGGACGTCTTACCGCTTCAAGCTGCTCTCTTCCCGGTTCCTCTGCCGCAATCTTATGTCTGATTGTGCGCAAAGCTCTCCTCCTTGTGAACCATGGCTGATAGAAAGAACTGAAAGACAGGATAGGAGGAACATGCCGGTTCAAGTTAACTTGCAATATGCTTCTGATTAGTGATTTTAGATGAAAGATTAGCGAAATCGCATTTAATTTGGATAGAAGGATTCAATTTTATGAAGCAGGCTCGTAGAAAATATGCAGGAATAGCACAATCTTTTGCAATCAGAATGTGGTTGCAAAACTTCGACCGACAAGAGTGTATTGTGCACTCTTGTCGGTCTGCATGTCTCATTCCGGGAGACATTGTCACTGCATGTCTCCCAGAATGAGACAATCTTCCGCATTCATAACTTGAATGCGGAAGTTTGACCGACAAGAGTGCACAATACACTCTTGTCGATCTAAATGTATCTTACAATCAAAGACACTTTCATACAATCTTTTCGAAGTTAAAAAAAAAATTTAATTATTTCTTTCTTTTGTTTATTAAATCGCCTTACTCACGTACTAATCTCTTTTAGAGACTCTATCGAGCTATCCCCACATATAAACCTGTGACAATAATACATATTTACTCTCTTCATATTCTGATCTCATGACACATTATCGCAAAAACTATAATTATACAACACATCTCATAAAGTCTCATTTTAGCCCTATCTAAGCGTTCAAAACCTATTTTCCACACGTAATCTGATTCTTCTGGCTCCGCTGATTCGATTTCTGCTGTCAGATCGTGAAAATATGCATCACATAAAGAGATAAATGCAAATTGCACAACTTAATATTTTCCTTAAAATTTCTCTTCAGGTTCATACCTAAATAAGCTCTTTTTTTGAAAATTCAATTTTTTCCAAAAATGTATGAATTCAAAAGTTCAGATTATATCTAGTCATTTTCCAACATTAATTTTGTGTTTTAGTTTTTGAGATATTCATTTTATTATACGTATTATTCAGAAAATTAAAAGAATTTGTGAGGGGAAACGGAGGAGATAATAAATATGTAAAGATGGATGAATAGACAATTTGAAAAAAAAAGCAATAATTTTGAGTTGTGTTTATCTCTTTATGTGATGCATATTTTCACGATCTGACAGCAGAAATCGAATCAGCGGAGCCAGAAGAATCAGATTACGTGTGGAAAATAGGTTTTGAACGCTTAGATAGGGCTAAAATGAGACTTTATGAGATGTGTTGTATAATTATAGTTTTTGCGATAATGTGTCATGAGATCAGAATATGAAGAGAGTAAATATGTATTATTGTCACAGGTTTATATGTGGGGATAGCTCGATAGAGTCTCTAAAAGAGATTAGTACGTGAGTAAGGCGATTTAATAAACAAAAGAAAGAAATAATTAAATTTTTTTTTAACTTCGAAAAGATTGTATGAAAGTGTCTTTGATTGTAAGATACATTTAGATCGACAAGAGTGTATTGTGCACTCTTGTCGGTCAAACTTCCGCATTCAAGTTATGAATGCGGAAGATTGTCTCATTCTGGGAGACATGCAGTGACAATGTCTCCCGGAATGAGACATGCAGACCGACAAGAGTGCACAATACACTCTTGTCGGTCAAACTTCCGCATTCAAGTTATGAATGCGGAAGATTGTCTCATTCTGGGAGACATGCAGTGACAATGTCTCCCGGAATGAGACATGCAGACCGACAAGAGTGCACAATACACTCTTGTCGGTCAAACTTCCTAATACAAAATTTGATTCCCTTATTATCTTCTTAACAAAACTTAAGATTTCAATAATACATCATGAAAACATTCATTTACTACATTCACACTGTTATTCCTTTCTATAAATTAACTCATTTAATAGAATCTTGTTTTTATATCTTATTATTTTCTCATAATACTTCTAATTCCTCTATTTCCTCTTCCACATAAAATTTAATTTTGTAATGCTATCATATACACTTAATGTTTTCAAATTTTCAGATTTAAATTTAATCTTTATTTTCATCATCATTTATAATCTTGTTCCTATATAAAGTTATAATAAATTATCGTCAGATTCTAATATTTATGATTCTTACTACTCAATTCAATATAATTATGTTAGTCACTCATATTCAGGAGAATAATTTAAAAATCTATAGCTCATATTTTGATAGTTATATATTTAGATGATATATATTGCAATTCCGGTTTCAACACGATCAAATGCCAAACCAAGACAAAATATATATGAATTTTCAAAATATCGATTTACATTAGAATCTATATCTAATTTTATCAATACACAAGTAGGGAATGTTCAATACATCTTTGAGCAACGTGAATAGCACAATTTTATAGGATTATTTGTTGATTATATAAAATATAAGCCAAATCGAATCTGCTGTATAGTACTTTAGTTTATCATTGAATGTTAAATGTGTTCAGATAAATATTTGAGTCAGATATCGCATTTTCTAATTTCAAAATTTATCTCATGAAGTTAGAATTTATTTGATCATACAACATCATGTTAGTCAAACCAGAGTTCAATGGCGATTCTAAAATGGAACAAATGCTTGTTTTATCAAAATGTTAAAATATTAATCTAAAAAACTTAATATCTAACCAAACCATTCTAGAATTATTATATACAGGTATAGGCAATCTAAATGCACACGGAATTCGGAAAATTAAAAAGAATATTTATGAGATTATTCAATCTTATGTAATTCAATGAAAAGTAGATAATATGAATATCTATAGGCTATATATCAACATATGAGTTTTTGGTTTGACCAATACTATACTAATGTGATCAAATTAATCTGATTTCTTAGATTTTCATTTGAAGCATTTGCAGTAGTAGGGGTACCTTTATATATTAACATATTAAAAAAATGCGCTCCGATTCGCAGTTTCTTCATGATTTTGAGATTGCATTAGATTTCGCGATGCAGAAAAAAATCACTTTAGATTCCCGTCAAACTCTAAGTATAAGCATGTCTCTATATGTAGAAACTGTCTGCGCTATTTATTTCCCGGCTCAAAAAACCACGGTGTCTGTGTGAGGAAAATACCCATTTTAGGACCCTGGGTAGGGGGTCATGAAAAATTTCCAAGAGTTGGAAATATAGGGTAGTAAAGATTTTTGAATTAGCTAGAAACTGATGAGATGTTTTCACAAATCAGATTTTTAATCTCTATAATGCATAATTCACTCAATATCTCAATTTTGATATTGCGAGATATTTTTGCTTAGAAAGAGATAATGGAGATAAGAAAATCCATTGAACTCGTGTAGCAGACATTGGATGAGTAATTATGGGTCTGACCTTAGATATAGTTCGAAGGAATATGTAAACGAATCGTATGATTTCTTCATTTCCAAGATCTGAAAGATTATGGAAGAAGAAGAGTCCCAATGACTCTGTAATGGAATTGCAATCAATATCCTCAGTCAATAAGAAGCAAATCAAGTCAAGAAGTGAGTTGTTAATTGTAATTAAGTCTTGAGCTGTTGATTGAAGTTTGCCATCGGAGAAAACAATCTGCATAATGTCAAGAATAAGTGGTAAAGATGTTGAAAAGTCTGGAATGATTGTTGTTTCGATCTTTCCTTCAATGATTTCATGACAAAATGCTTTAATCGCTTCCGGATAGAATGTTGGGAAGTCATCACCAATTGTTTGTGGATCGAAATGATTGAACAACCACTTTCGAAGTGATGTTCTACCGCCATCGCCAAATGTGATCAATAATTGAACCAATGTTGGGAGAACTTTAGAATCGCGCTTCTTAATAAGTCGGCAGAAAAGAGGGATGATGTAAAGATCAGCATATGACTCGTCAATTCCAGACAAACTTGGAATATCGAAATTATCAGTCAATGCGGTAGCCATGTTTTGAGGAGGGAAGTAGAATGGAGGGATAGTGATCTGTAATGACAAACCTTCTGATTTCTTTGGTGTTTGCAGAGTTACATTGGCATCTTTAGAAACTTTGCCTGCTTCTGAGAAAAGCTCGACTTCTACAGATGTGTTGTTATTACCTGAGATGCAACTTAATGGAATAACTGCTGTATCGATCGCTTTCTCTTTGATCTTAGAATTTTCTTCAAAATGATAAAATTGAATCAGCAAATGACACTTTAAGATGTTTTCTGTAGGGACGATCGGTATGAAATCAGGGAATGCGTGTTTTGGATTGCCATTGAACATCGGAGAAACATAAAAATCTGTAAGACCTGTGCAATTCTTGTTTATGATTATTTTGAGTGGCTCTGGTTTTTTGTAGTTTATGCATAAATGAAGCAAAAGAAGTCAGATAAATTGATGCTGTATTGCCTCCATATGTATCTGATGATGAATTAACTCTTCAATTTACAAATGATGAAGTAAGGGTTTCGTTTTGCGAAAAAAACGTACAATACGCAATTTCGCTAAAAAAACATTTAGCTAGCAATTTCGACCTTTGACTCCACTCAAGATGTCACTTTTTTAATTTTGCGGTATCATATTTTTGGAAAATCTTTATGAATAATATATAAAAAGTCTCTTTAATATCTATATTTCATATTTTTATCGATTTTTAAAGTTTTTGCGAAAAGTATTCAATTATTTTTGCTATTTGGTCGGGTAAATGTCAGATTTGCGACATTTTCTGATATGATATTCAGATTCTACGTTGATAATAATGCTTATAGAACCTTCTTGCTATTGTGTCAAAATTGCGAAACCGATAGCAAAAATATCTCGCAATATCAAAATTGAGATATTGAGTGAATTATGCATTATAGAGATTAAAAATCTGATTTGTGAAAACATCTCATCAGTTTCTAGCTAATTCAAAAATCTTTACTATCTTATTCGATTAAAATGAAAAGGGAATAGTTTCATTATGCTTTAAATGACAGCCTTATAATATAATCATAGTTTTCGCTCAATATGCAGCATTTTTTTTTCGAAATCTATGGTCAATATCCTAAATACTGATTGCTTTGCATTCATATCTCTTACATTTTCTATACCCACATCACTATTCATTGCTATTCCTATCTTTTTCATTTTTGTTTGTTTCTCATAATTTCTCAAAAAACATGATAACTTGATATTTGTAAATATCATACTTTATAACGTAAATAAGAACTTGACCTATTAAGAAAAGCAGTAATGAAAAGAAAATCTGAAATTCATAAAAATTACAAGTTTCTGATGACAATTAGCTTAATTAAACCAGGTACAAGATTATATAATTGTATTTTCTATCCAATTATCCATATAATATCTTATCCAGAAAAAATAACTTGATCAATACCAAATGATTTTTTAACTAGTAAATAAAGTATTTTCTTTACACACACATTGTATATCATAGTTTTTTTTTGGTTTCGCAAAACATCCAAAAACAAATATGCTATAAAAGTGACAATTTTAGCAAAACGAAACCCTTAGATGAAGTAAAAACAATTCAAATTAGGGCTTGATATTCATATATAACAATAGCTGTATTTAGAAATGCAAATATGTTTATGCTCGAAAATGGAGAACCATTGAAACCTGTTTATTCATTAATAAATGAAAATGAACATGAATATGAAAAATCAATTTTACTTAGAATAAAAGGTCGCCAGCCAAATTTAGTTCTTCAATATAATGGAATTTCAGAACGTTATTCATCTGATATGCATGTAAACGTAGTTATCAATGTTAAAGATTTTACTTATCAATTGCCACAATTAACAAACTCACATTTAATAATTGCTTATGCAAATAACCCAAAACATTATGTAAAAAGAATTAGTCAATCAAGTTATGGTTACTATCAAGGAAATCTATATTTTACTGATATCCATGAAAATTATGGAACATGTGTTCATATTGATATGGAAAAAAGTGTTGAATATGAAATATCAGGAATATTTGATGTTGATGGTTGTCTTCCTGCATTCAAAGATGCTTAAAAAGTTGAAGTCATTTTTTCAGATGAAATTAAAACATTTAATTTTGAATTATAGTAATGAAGTTCAACATGGTGTTACCCCCTTTCATTTTTTATATTTTATTAGAGAGTCTTTTTGACTCTAAGCCAAGTTCAAATTAATTGCTTTTAGAAAACGTGTTCATTGTGAAGAAGTTACAAATAGTATTTGGCGTCTATATTATGAAGGAATTGATCCTCCTTCTTCAGTCATTACAGGTGAAGTTCAACAAGTCACAACAGCAAAAATAATTGAATACTTTTCGCAAAAACTTTAAAAATCGATAAAAATATGAAATATAGATATTAAAGAGACTTTTTATATATTATTCATAAAGATTTTCCAAAAATATGATACCGCAAAATTAAAAAAGTGACATCTTGAGTGGAGTCAAAGGTCGAAATTGCTAGCTAAATGTTTTTTAGCGAAATTGCGTATTGTACGTTTTTTTCGCAAAACGAAACCCTTACTTATTCAAATTATACAATCGTGCATAAATTTTATTTGATAAAGGAAAATAGAACTAGATCAACTATTTATTTTAATAAAAATTGCACACAAAAGACAATTGTCATGATCACAACAACAGAAAGAAAAGTAATCAAAAATATTTTATTGATAGTAAATATAATAAACTTTGTAAGAAGTATTCCTGTTACCCACTGGCAAAACCTAAGTTGTGGAGTTAATTCGACTTTCAATGAACTTTATATGAAAAGGGAAGAAATATGAGATAGTGATGAATTGAGTTATTTCACTCTAGGGATAGATGTATTATTTAAACTGGAAAGAAAGATTAATTTTGATTTTTGATAAAATATCAGATCAATGGTATATTCAGAGTTGGATTGTAATTTTTTTCTCCAAAACACCATTTTTCTATTTCTAAAATTGATTAATAAGATCAGAAATAATTTTAAATATGAAATCCATCGAGCTTTTTAAAAACAAATGATATAGAGTGCCTTGATAGCTTTAATACATCATTTATTCTTTGACTCGATGATTATCGGGGTTTTCATGCGAGTTTTCGAACCTTTGGGAAAAATATTTCCGATCGAGTTGATCGTTTATGGTTTTTATCTAAGAGTGAAGTGAATTTTGACAATAATGTTGATAATCTTATGATGTTTAATATCACAATGGAATATCTCAAATTCAATGTATCTGACATATGAATTGAAAGGAGAAATATTTTTATTTAGAAATGCATACAATTTCATAACAATTCATATTTGAGAAATTGGTAGTCCGCTTATAAAGCTCTCAAAAAACGCTCCTCAGAATTTTTGAAAAGTTTGAGTATTGAGAAGATTCTACTTCATTTATCTCAGAGATGTCTGAAGAAAAGATTCGCGTCTGCATTGGTGGTGGTGCTGGTTTCATCGGCAGCCACATGGGAAAATTCCTCCGTGCTAAGGGCTATTGGGTCCGTGCTGTTGACTGGGCTGAAAACGAATTCTGGAAACCAGAGGAATTCTGCGATGAATTCTTACAACTTGACCTCCGTACCTACGAAAACTGCGCTAAGGCCTCCGCTGGCTGCAAGTGGGTTTTCAACTTTGCCTGCGATATGGGTGGCATGGGATTCATTCAGTCAAACCACTCTGTTATTATGTACAACAACCTCCAGATCTCCTCCAACATGCTCGAGGCTGCTCGCCGTAATGGTGTTGAGAGATTCTTCTATTCCTCTTCTGCTTGCGTTTATCCAGAGTTCAAGCAGTTAGAAATTGACAACCCAGGACTTCCAGAAGACTGTGTTTGGCCAGCTCAGCCACAAGATGGCTATGGCCTTGAGAAGCTCTGCACAGAAGAGCTCGCACAGCATTACTCCAAGGACTTCCCAACAATGAAGACAAGAATTGCTCGTTTCCACAACATTTACGGACCATGGGGAATCTGGCGTGGTGGCAGAGAGAAAGCTCCTGCAGCTTTCTGCCGTAAAGCTATTTGCTCCAAGGAGAAGTTCGATATCTGGGGCGATGGCTTGCAGACACGCTCATTCACATACATCGATGACTGCCTTGAAGGTGTCTGGAGACTCTTCAACAGTGACTGGGATAAGCCAATCAACATCGGATCTGAAGAAATGGTCAGCATGAACCAGCTTGCTGAACTCGCACTCTCATTCGAAGGCAAGAAGATGCCTTTAGTCCACGGCCCAGGCCCAGAAGGTGTCAGAGGCAGAAATTCTGATAACAGATTGATCAGAAAGGTTTTGGGCTGGGAACCAAAGATCCCACTTGCTGAAGGCCTTAGAAAGACATACGACTGGATTAAGACCCAAGTTGAAAAGGAAGCTGCAGAAGGTGTCGACGTTTCTAAATACGCTGAATCACACGTTGTTCATCTTAAGGACATCCCACAAATCGGAACTGTTAGAAAGGATTTAAGAGAAATTCAATAAATTAGTCGAAATTCAATACGGTAAAGATACTTTTTACATGAAAAATTAATCGTGATTTTTTACTTTATACGGATTGGGACATTAAATTTGGGATCTTCAGTATATTTCTAATAATCATAAAAATTATTATATCTGATTGAGCCAGGGGATGTGTAAATTCTTTGTATCTTCGACATTGCTCTTTTGTTCTTTTGAAATGAACTTTATTCTTCCTTTCATATTTGTTTTATGAGAATTTGAAGGAGTTTTGTAATAACTGTAAACGAAGAAATCATTAAGCAAAAGGCAATATGTTATGAATTTAGCACAATTGCATTGCGTTGTGCCTGATTAAATGAGGAAAGAAATTTATTTTGTATATATGATAATTTTAATGATCGAATTGTATTTATTGCCTATAATCATGCCTAAGTTTCGTTTATAATTTTTGAAAAATCTTCTAAAAAATGTTTAAAATCTAATTTTTGAAATAAAATTTAAAAATTTTTATTATCAAAATTCAAATTTCGCAAAAAATTTGGAAAAAGGATGTGAATCAAGTGGCTTTAAAACGAATCACTAGAGTTCAAAAAAGCTATATTTAGTTCAAAAAACATAATTTTACTTATTGTTGAAAACAATTTTTGGCAAAATCAAGTATTAAGCGAGAGTATTCATCTCTATGACTATGGTAAAGCATAACATGATCAGAGTCATCATAAATTTTTGTTGAAATGTCAATTCCTCTGCTCTTAGCAATTTCAACGTATTCCATCATTTCTTTATACTTGATAACGCGATCATGCTTTGAGGCAATTAATAATTGCTTGAATGGAAATGGATCTGTGTACATAGAGTTAATTCTCATATCTCTTAAACGTCTGTGGTTTTGAGAGAATAAGTAGAAGAACTTAAATGGTGGAATCAAAGCAAATCGAAGTATGTGATACATGAATTCTGATCTATTTGCGATGGCTCGTGCAAAAGGTTTATAATATTTATCACCTGCACCTCTTCCTGGTGCGGAATCCCATATTATTCCCTTTATTTTCAAATTTGGTTTGAATTCTTTATAATCGTTTTGTTTCATAGAATTTAGGAAAGCGAAGGCTCCATTCAAAGAAAAGATATGACATATTGCTTCCCTATTCTTAGCTAATTCATACATCTCATTGAATTTTTTCGTATCTGGCTTCATGTCTAGACATGAAAAAGGACTTTGGATCATGTACTTAAAATCATAACCTTCTTTCGTATATATCTTTTCGAAGGAATGCATATTGTAATTTCTTGATCCTAGCCAACCAAAACCAAGAACTAATGGCTTTTTAGCGATCATTTTTTATCTATTTTACCTGACCATCTCAAAATTTTTCGATCAATTCAATTATATTTTCGTTGAAAAATGACGCACTAATTGTTCCTAATTATATTTTAATTTCTCGTGTCAGGTTTTAACCTCAAAATTGTGAGAAATGTAATTTTATATCTAAATTACTTTATAATCGATATATGATTCTTATGGAATATAAATCCATAAGATTTACAAACCATTCGATCAAATTTTATGGGTTTGATTTTATAAAATCGTATATTTTAAGATAATTTTAGACTTTTATGATTCTACATAACCCATAGCTAACAAATATCGATGATAGACTCCGAAAAACCATAACATTTTTATTGAGAAATTTCAATTTATACAAGAATGGTAAATAACAGATAAATTTAACAATAGTACACGAATAAAATAACACGAGTTTTAACGTTATATCCTAAAACGTGTAATTATTTTCCCATATTTTGCAAAAAATTAGAAAAACTGAGTTTGCATTACGAACATTAATATCCTAAAATAGAGATTGGGCCTAATATTATCATTGAGATAGATTTAAATAGACTTTTAGCTGTTCATTCTTCAGATCTGATATAAAACCTATAAATTGAATTGAAAATAATCGGTTTTATGCATGAGGTGAAGTGGCTCGAAACGATATTTCAAAACAAGCAATCCCGAAAATTCGTCATCGGTTAATAAGCCCAATATAGAGTGCATGTGGAACTATCATTTTCTGGCATATACAAATTTTTGATCTCGAAAGACCAGTCAAAATTGAATTATACACATTAATTATAGGTAATATTCTTGTTCAAATCAAAAATGCAACCTACTGTTGAAATACCACAACTCAAATAGCATACGCCCCCGAAGAAATCTCAAACAAATTATTTTTACAACAGTTTTACATGCAAAATGTGTTTACGATATGTCTGAGGTATATTATCAAGGTTTCATCAGTCCGGAAAAAAACCTATAATCATAAAAGAATTTTATTTATTTGTAAAGTTGTCAATAATTTTTTTCTAGATGTCGCAGGATAAAGTAACCTTTACGCATACAAATACGGAAGGTTCTGGTGTCAACATGACCCAGTCTGGCGATATAGTTACGATAAATGGAAGACAATTTGCTAAAACTACTACAACTTCCACAGAATCATTTCATGCTTCGAGAACAACAGTTACAAGAACTACAACAATAACTCGTAAAAGAACAAGTGCAACATTAATTGTTATTAAACTTACATTTAAAGATTTTTACGGCTTTGCTTCATTTCATCCATTCATGGCTAACATTCGTCCAACAGGCATGGACTTGAGACCAAACAAAGATCTCATCATTGAAGAAGTGAATAAACTTTCTCCCATGCTTAGAGAAACCGCCACAGAGCCAATCCCATTCCCAGAAAACCAGGAAGATACAATCTACAATTTCTGCTGGAAGTACGCTTCACCACTTTACTACTGCTCAATCCTTATATTAGAAATGAAGGCAGCTAAAGTAGATTTAAATACAATTAATGAATTTTCTGTGACTCACGATACCATCATACAGTTCCTCAAAGATGAATACGGATTTAACAAGGAAAAGAATCCAAATCTCTTCCAGCCACAAGGATACATGGTTGTCGCTAAAGCAATCAAACAAGCCTGCAAGGACATCAAATTGATGATGAAGGCTGTTAACATGCAAGAAGTCAATGATGCAAGAGTACAGCCTATCATGGCAGAGCTTGAAGCTCAAAGGAAAGCTGTAAAAGCTGCAGTTAAACCTGTCATCGAAAAAGAGAAAGAGCCAACAATGGAAATATTCAGAACATGCAGGAGATCTTACATTACAGCTATGAGACTTATTAACAACTTAGTTTACAAAGTCTCAATTGTAGATCATGCGATGGACTTCAAGACAAACTTAGCCTACTACGTTGGTATATTAGCCGAGAACGTACAGCTCTTCCTCGACGGAAAACAAATGGCAAAGGATTACGTCATGCAGGTAAATCCGGACTCAGAGACTCATAAGAGCAGAAGAAGAAGCGATGGAAAGGATCCTGCTGAAGAAGGATCTCCAAAGAGCAGAGAAGTCAAGATTTCTTTGGCAGAATCAAAGCCACAGAAAGAAAAGCCAGTGGAAGAAACAGCTCCGATATCGTTATCGGAATTACGATCAGGTCCACGCGAAGATGACTCGAAACCGATCGGAAATTGGGCAACTTCTACAGATGCGCTTATGAAGAACAAGAAGGAAGGCCAAATCAAGCTCAGACCAAACGAGCTTGGTTCGCAGTCCGTTTCGCTCTTCATGCTTAAGCAAAAGCGTAAATCAATTTTATTAGATTCAAATGATGACCAAGTTTTGCTTCTCCATCAGCCATCCTTACCACACGTCACATTCAACTTCGAACACGCGGGTCCTTTGGAGAACGAACAGTCCCAAATGGTCGAAGAAGCAGAAGTATCGCCATTATCTTCAGAATCATCATCGCAACAGCCAGTTTACGACAGGGATCACATTAATCCTGATCTCTACCCACAAACGATTAAGATTCCGAACTTTAATTCGTGGCATCCACAAACAATTTCGAAATCTATCAAACAACCACGTGTTCCAGCCGTATCTCTTGATAAGCTTAAGAGCCATTCCGCTAAACGTTCTAAACTCGGCTTCCTTTCCGTATCTATGTCGAATATCTTCTCTTCTTCTCACGATTTCAAGTCAATGAGGATCAAGAAGATCGAAGATGTCCTTGTAGCTCCAGAAATTTCATCGTACCACCCAGATTACGTCGAAGAACAGTTAGATGATGCAATTGTCCAGCTCCAGAAGTGCAAAGAAGAATACCAGGAGATCGAGAACTCATCCATCGAAGAAAAGGCTTTCTTCTTCTGCAAGTGGCATAAGACTTTCGATGAAGCTCCTCAACTTGTAAAAGTGACACAAGAAAAGAAACCACAGTCCGAGTCGCTCAAGCTTGCCATTGACCTTCTTGCCTCACTCAGTCATGCTAATGATGAGGTCATGGAGCAGTTGCAAGAGAAAGAATGGGAATCTCCAAGAGATGCAATCAATCATATCACAGATCTCTTAAGAATCCTCATTATTTCACTCAACTACGCTGAAGAAGATCTTAAGACTCTCAAGTTGCCCAATATTAATGCACAAGAAGTTGCAGATTGGAAGAGATATTACACAGATATGCTCCAGAACATCGAAATCATCAATTCTGCTCACGATAACGTCGTGGTATTACAGAACTTGAAGTATATCGGTGAAGCTCGTTCCCATTGGTCTTCATTTGGCGCAACAGCTCAATCAATCGACAGAGAGACAAATCGTTCGATCTTGGTCATCACACACAAGACACTTATCAACACGGCCGATCTCATTATCTTGTACATTAAGTCCGCAGAACTTACAGATCTTACTACAAGACCACAAATGGTCCAATACCTCGAAGCAGCCAGAACAAAGTTACAGGCTGTCAAGAAGGCAAGGATTATGGCTGTTGCAAGCATCGTCGGAGTTACAGATACCTTGATTACCCAAATTATTTCGGAAATCAACGTCGAAAACGCCAATCTCGGTGCATGCGATGCAGATAGATTCTGCCAACAGCTCGGAGATATCACAAACAAGGTCGAAGCAGCTATCCACAACGTTAAAAACCAAGATCAAACAAATATCCTTTTAGAATTCCACGAATATACCACCGCCGCCCGCTACAACCTTCTCAACATGCGTGTCCAAGACAACGAGAAGGAGCCAGACCTTCTCCCTCTTCTCAAAGCGAATGCCGAAGATTTAGATGCACTTGAGAAGCAATTCAGATCGGCTGCCCAGGACACAAGTTCTACTCCGACCTCAGCGGCCTTCTGTCTTCAATGGGCCGACCAAATTGAGAAGTTCAGATTATCATTAATCTCAATTGAAGAAGTTTCGGACATAATTCTTCGCAATCCTTCAAGATACGATGCTGCCGATGTCCATCTCATCAATATCGGCAAGAACATCCGTGTTTTCGAACGATCAGATTTCACATCTCTTGTTCCTGTTACCGCAAACTACACAAAGACCACTACTAACCTCCAAGTAACAATTGACTACCTTACAGATACACCCAACAAGCTCAGAAGGCAAGGATTGGAGTCAACAAAGGCATCTCAGTCACCATTATTCTCCGGATTGCAGCCAATCTCCATGAAACCGATTTCAGGAGAGCAGATGCCACAGAAGACAACGATCATCATCGATCTCAAACCTTACATGAACGGTTTCATTGAAAATCCAAGTGAAATCAAGTCCCAGATTTCGGAAGCTATGCCAGCAGATGAAGCACAGGATAAGACAATCACTGATAAGCTCAATCGCCAGATATTGAGATTGTCAAGTGCTCAGACCGATGCTTTATCGAGAAACTACAATTTGTCAACAAAATCTACTGATGTTCTTTTCAATTTGATTGTCACTTTTTGTCAATCATTGATTCAACTGAATCCATTGATAGAAGATGCTATTGAGTTGAACGACATCAGTGAGATCAAGAAGGTTGTATCACAGAACATCAAGAAGTTGAATTCTATACAATCAAGTTACAATGATAAAGCAGTTTATTCCGAATTCGCACAAAAGAGACTGATGATCTTCGCACAGACCCTCAAAGTACTTTCCCATATTACAGAGCTCAACCTCAGCCACTTAACTACCGATCTTTCCTTCAATGAGTCCTCATTGAATTCAGATATGAGACAACTTACAGTCAACATCGCTTTCTTCCCCAAGTTCCCATCAACACCAGCTGCAATGACCCTCAAAGACGTCATAAGAGTCAACAAACAATCTCATGACGATATACAATTCGAACTTCTCCCAATAATTCAGTCGGAATCGAAGTTCCTCACAAGAATGCTCGACATCATACAGAACTTTTACGCTGAAGCTGATGTAAGATTCTTCAGACTCGAGCAAGAATACACCGACAAACTTGAAGAAGCAATTGTAGTGGTCAGGGAAGTGAAATTAGACCCATTCTCAGACCAGAAGACACAAACAGCTCAGGTCAAGAGAAATCTCGATGTCGTATCCGATACTTTCCTCGAATACTCTACAATGCTACAGGAAGGTGATTACAACCCTGAAAAATTGTGTAATCTGATACTTTTGTTATCGTCTCATGTTGTCACTTTTTGTCAATATGCCCTTACAATTGAGAACCGTGACGATTATTTCCTACAACATGTATTCAATTTACAGAACTTCTACATTGAGTTAATTGCCACTATTAAGCTTCATGCAGAGATTGGCTCACAGAGGCTTTATAGTACACAAGCAAGACATTGTTTGCAAAAGGTAAGGACAGCGATAAGTACAGCGAACAGACATCTTGCATTGATGGAACAATTGGATTCACAGGCATGTTTGGATTCGCAACAAACAGCCATGGAAACATCACTTTCTATTCTCGCGAGATTGGCTAAATTACTTTACATCGCAAGAGACAATTTGAGAGTAGAAACAGACAAAAGTAAGTGTACAGGACCAAGAAGAGTTTTAGTTCAGTCCATCTGCTCTTCATACGAATGCTCTGCACAGACATTGTTGACTGTTAAAAACAAAGTCCAGCAGTTGACAATCAAACCAAAGGCAAGAGATGTTAGATCTCTCATTTGGGCTGCACAGAGTTTACTCAACGCAAGTGACTATTTACTTGTGGAGATAAGAGGAACAGCACTTGATGACATAGAGTCAATTGAGTTCTGGATCGGAGCTGCTTCTGAACCAATTATCAAGGCTTTGGGTTCAATCGCTTCTTCTATCCCTGCTTCCGTTCCTCAGGCAGCAATAATGAGAAGGAAGGTATCAGTAATTCACCACAAGTGTGAGATTTGCGTGGAACCATTCCAGGAATGTCGTGCATTCACTGTATCTCAATAAAAAAGTTTTTTTAATATTTTTATTAAAAAAATAGAATTTTTTTATAATGTGATTTTTTATATCAATTCACGCCTGTAATATTTTTTTGATGCGTTTTATGAATGGTTGAATAAAATTCATTGTTTAATAGTCAGACATATCTTTGCACAAATACTTTCCAGCAACTAACACTCCCTGTAGGAAAGTATAATTTTTCTTTGTGGGGAGCCTCCGGAGGAGATGCTCCAAACACAGACGGACACATCGGTGGAAAAGGCGGCTTGGAAGGTTTCATTAGTGGTGAGATTGATTTAAAAGAACAAACTCTTCTGACTATTGTTGTAGGAGGTAAGGGCCAAACTGCAGATAAAATTGTCAATAATTTACCCGGCGGGTACAATGGAGGGGGAGTCACCATATATAGTAAAGGGTGTGTAGGGACTGGAGGCGGGGCAAGCGATATAAGGATTGGAGGAACTGCATTAGAGAATAGAGTAATAATTGCAGGTGGTGGAGGAGGGTCTGCAGTCGAATCAGATGGCGGTGTAGGAGGGAATGAAATAGGAGGTAACGGGATTAATAATAGTCCATATATGGAACAACCTGGTAGAGGTGGAACGCAAAGTAAAGGTGGAGATGCATATCATGGTCTTGAGTTATATCCTGATTATTCTGGGCGTCTAGGATTTGGAGGAGATGGAAAGTCTTATGCTTACGGCGGCCCATCGGGGGGTGGAGCGTATTTCGGCGGTGGCGGCGGGTGTCAGGAACATGCTGGAGCTGGTGGTGGGTCTAGTCATGCTTCCTCTTTGTTTAAGAATGTTCAAATGCAAAGAGGAATAAATTGGGGAGATGGAAGAATCATCATTACCGTGATTAGTGCAATCAAAGTGAATAAAATTAAATCATGCATCTGTTTCAATTTTCATTCAGATACAGTCCCATTATTATATATCCTTTTTGTTTCTTGAATAAAAAAAAATAAAAAGGTGACCAAACTATTTTTTGAAAGTCCGCCATAACTTTAATGGTACTATTTCAGCGTGTACAATGAATACAAAAATTCTAAGAGTGCCACATAAAATAGTACTTTAGACTTGAGTTAATGCTACCAAGCAAATGTTAAAAAGATGACTTTAGTGTTTTGATAATCAAAGATTAAAATCATTATTGTCTAAATCAATAATCATAACGACAGAAGTTAATGTTTTTTCATCAGTGCTTTAAATCCACTTTTAAAAGTATACCTCAAAAATCAAAATATCAAAAAAAATTGGCCGATAGGTTTGGCTTTAATTTTTGTCTGCTTTTATGATTTGATATGGATGTTATAATTTTAAAAGTTGAGCCAAATTCACCAATAGATTTTTGAGATTTGCAAATACTCAATAATTTTCAGCGTGTTATCTTTTATTAAAAGAACTATTTGGTTTCAGTATCATATAAATTGATATTTACTTTCTATTTGAACCTTCATTTAGCTAATGATTTAGTAATACAGATTTCATCTAATCCTTATAAGAGAATTTTGAATTTGTTATAATAAAAAAACAAACAGATATAGCTTACACTTCTATAATAAAGATACCTTTTATAGAAATCAGTATGAAATGTGTTTTGGCTTATTGGAAGCATATCAGACATAATCGCCATAATCAAGAAATCTATATACCCAATAAGTAATAAATTTGTCGATATAGATTTTTCATAAAATTAGTTTTTAGTCTGATCTTAAAATAAATTTAATTTTTTATAAAAAAAAATCACATTTAAAAGTACCTTTTTAGTAGCTCGAAATCCTGTTGGTGGATTTGGGGCGTACTTCAAAATTAGCTTTTCTTCTACATATGCAAGCTATATTTTAAATATGGGGCAAATCGGATCGGCGAAAGGAGTTTAGTTACCTTTAAAAATAATTGATACTTAAATTAAGAAATTGAAATAAGCATACTCGAATGTTATTTTTGAATTTAAATACATTTCATCTCCCATCAGATAATACTTTAATAGTTTGAATTTCAATTTACTTTTTGTATTTGATTTTGAGGAAATTACTCTATATAGACATCATGTATTTTTATGGCACACATTTTCTTCTAAATGTTACATAGCGATAATTAAGTTCCAAATATAAAATAATTAAATTTGCAAATTAATGTGAGAGTTTCGATTGTTGAGTAAACAATGTGATTGAAAGTTTATATGTTTAGGCTAAAATATATGAAATTAAGTTTTGTGAAAATTTATTTAGAAAAATACAACTTATGACATGCATAATATAATACAAATACGCATTAATCATCATCCTCTTCTTCCTCGTCCTCGTCGCTTGATACTTTCCTTCGAGATGCGACAAATCTCTTCAAACCCTTCTTTGGAGGCTTTTCACTACTCTCTTCGTAGTAAGAAGACTCATCCTCCTCTTCGTCGTCATCGTCATCGTCATCTTCTTCAGTTGCCATGTAACTTTCGTCAGATGAAACACTGTAACCTTCAGAATCAATGACTTCTTGCCTTACAGGGGCCAAATCATCCAAAGAAGTCTGGTTAGCGATATGCTTGCTTCGTCCTGACCTGTGGTGAGTCAAAGCTGGGAAATAATAAACAAAAATGTGAACTAACGTAATTGAGAGGCTGTAAAATATATTGTTATCGGCATTCATGGTCGACCAAAAGTTGAACAAACAAGAAGCAAAAGCAATGAACTGTAAAACGATATTTTGTAATTCGCGTTCTTTAATGATCCTCATGAGCAATCCGTAGAAGAATCCAATGCAGTATAATATGTAGAAGCAGGTTTTGTTGAATCTTGGAATTACTTGGAAGAGGAATCCTTCATTAAATTCTCCGGAGACTAATTCGCAAGAATAAGACGTAGTTGTGTAGAAAACCGTAGAAGCAAATAATGCGGCTATGATATAATCAACATATGTAGCTCCTTTCTTGATAATAACGCCATAAAAAACTGCAACAGAAACTAAGCAGTCTCTTGTAATGATCGAGAATATATATGAAACGTATGATGGTAAAAATGGAGTAATTGGCTCAGTGGCGAAGAGAGAATAGATAGATAAAACTAATCCTGCAATTACGCGGTATTTTGATGTATGAATTGTCAAGAACATGTAAATATATGCGATACTGATAATGAAATATGTTGTTTTGACTAAAATTGAGCGAAGACTGTAATAAAAGTTTCCGTAGAGAATATGCATTGTAACAATATCGCCAGCACCGAGTTCTGTATTTATACAAACAATGACTTTGAGAGAGTCAATCATTTCGGTAGAGATAGGAGCTAATTCTTTAATTTTATCGTCGAAAAATTGCTCTTGGTCTGCCAAATCTTCTGATTTACTCGAAGAAGCTTGAACAGCTCCTTTGTAGTAAGTCATTACAGCTATTCTCGCATTGACCATTTTTGGTTTAGATATTAAATAATAATTGTAAAAGACGGAAACTAATGTTGTTTTGTATGGTAATCGATAATTCCACTCAATAACTTTTTGGTCGCCTTCTTTGTTCTCTGGGAGTGTGATGTTATATTTGTATGTTTGGTATAAACCTTCATTTGGGAAGAATTTCGAATCAATGAAGATGATTGCGATTCCTATTGCAAGGGAGATAATAGGAATGCTTGTAAATTTCTTAAGACTAGACTTTTGCTTCATAGAATCCTACGTAAAAAAAATTACTATTTTCCAGATCATTGAACCAGATGAATAAAATAACAAATTGATTATATAAGATAATTACACTGTTGTAAACAGAAATTCATCAAAAGTGACACCTCAGAAAAGCTAAAATATTGAATTTTTGGAACTTTTGATAGAGCACGTTTTTAAATATTAATTAAAGTAAATGTATATTTTGTAAAGATTCTTTTTAATAAAAAAATAAAATTTTGAAGAAGAACACAAAATCTTCTGAAAAAGAATATCACATAAACTCATATTATTTTCTAATATATAACTATTTTATATAAAAATCAAATTCAATGATCTTAAAAGCGAAGGATAAACCTCAAAATTTACGAATATAATGAGTGGGAATATAATGCTTATCTATCATAAAACCATATGAAATATCAATTTTTGCTTTACGCCTAATTTTTGACGACAATTAGCAAAAAATGTTAAATGTTAACACTCAGTCCATTTGAATATGAAAAATAAAATTGACTTTGATTAAATGTTTTTATTTATCATGCAATTCTTCTTGCGACCAAAGATTTGAATAAAAGTTCAAAAAATAAGATAGCTTAAAAAATAATATACGGTAGTGTTTACTAATAGATGAATAGTATATAAATTCTATTAAAATGGATTTGATCCAAAAAAATATAAAACCAAAAATAATTGTTATAATTTAAATGAAGAAGTAATTTAAAACGATTTTATTTATGATCAAATTTTATATATTTTTTTGGATCAAATCCATTTTAATAGAATTTATATACTATTCATCTATTAGTAAACACTACCGTATATTATTTTTTAAGCTATCTTATTTTTTGAACTTTTATTCAAATCTTTGGTCGCAAGAAGAATTGCATGATAAATAAAAACATTTAATCAAAGTCAATTTTATTTTTCATATTCAAATGGACTGAGTGTTAACATTTAACATTTTTTGCTAAACGGAGAAAGATTTTGAAAATTAGCTTAGAAACTGATGAGATGTATTCACAAATCAGATTTTATCTCTATTAATGCATAATTCACTCAATATCTCAATTTTGAATATTGCCGAGATCAAAATTTGCTTAGAAAGAGATATGATGATAAAGAATAATTACATTGAACTCGCATGTAAGCAACATTGATGATATGTAATATTATGGTACTGACCTAGATATAATTCAATTAGGAATGTGTAAACGAAATCCGTAACCGATTCCTCATTTCCAAGAATCTGAAAGATTATGGAAGAAGAAGAGTCCAAGACTCTTTATGGAAATTGCAATTCCAATATCCTTAGTCAAATAGAAGTGCAAATCAAGTCAAGAAGGATTGGTTAAAGTGTAATTAATCTTGAGGCGTTGATGAAGTTTGCCATCGGAGAAAACAATCTGCAATAATGTCAAAATAATGGTAAGAATTGTTGAAAGAGTCTGGATGAATTGTTGTTTCGAATCTTTCGTCAATGATTGTCATGACAAATGGACTTTAATACGGCTTCCGGATAGAATGTTGGGAAGTAATCACAATTGTTGTGGATCGAAAGATTGAACAACCCTTCGAGTGATGTTTCTACCGCCATCCGCCAAACTTTATAAAATATGAAAATTGTTGGGAGAACTTTAGAATCCGCGCTTCTTAAATAATCGTCCAGAAAGAGGGATGATGTAAAGATCAACATATGACTCGTCAATTCCAACAAACTTGGAATATCGAAAAGTCAATGCGGTAGCCATGTTTTGAGAGAAGAGAATGGAGGATGGTGATCTGTAATGACAACCTTCTGATTTCTTTGGTGTTGCAGAGTTCATTGGCATGCTTTAGAAACTTGCTGCTTCTGAGAAAAGCTCGACTTCCTTACAGAATGTGTGTTATTACCTGAGATGCAACTTAATGAAAACTGCTGTATCGATCGCTTTCTCCTTTGACTTAGAATTTCTTCAAAATTGAATAAAAATTAATCAAGCAAAATGAACACTTTGAAGATTTTTCTGTAGGCGATCGGTATGATCAGGGAAATGCGTGTTTTATGGATGGCCATTGAACATCGGAGAAACATAAAAATTCTGTAAGACCTGTGCAATTCTTGTTATGATTATTTTGAAGTGGCTTCTGGTTTTTGTAGTTTAGCATCAATGAAGCAAAAGAAGTCAGATAAATTAAATGCTGGTATTGCCTCCATAAATGTATTGATGATGAATAACTCTTCAATTTAACAAATGATGAAGAAGGGTTTCGTTTTGCGAAAAAAAACGTAACAATACGCAATTTCGCTAAAAAAACAATTTAAGCCTAGCAATTTCGAATCCTTTGACTCCACTCAAGATGTCACTTTTTAATTTTGCGTATCATATTTGGAAAATCTTTATGATAATATTATTAAAAATCTCTTTAATATCTATATTTCATATTTTAATCGGATTTTTAAAGTTTTTGCGAAAAAGTATTTCAACTTATCTTGCTAATTTGTCGGGTAAAATGTCAGATTTTGCGACTTTCTGATATGTATCAGATTCTACGGTTGAATAATAATGCCTATAGAAAACCATTCTTGCTATTGTGTCCAAAATTGCGAAAACCGAATAGCAAAAAATCTCGCAAATATCACAAATTTGAGATATGATGAATTATGCATTATAAGAGATTAAAAAATCTGATTTGTGAAAACATCTCATCAGTTTCTACTAATTCAAAAATCTTTACTATCTTGAATTCGATTAAAATGAAAGGGAATAGTTTCATTATGTTAAATGACAGCCTATAAAATATAATCATAGTTTCGCTGCAATAATGCAGCATTTTTTTTTTCGAAATTTCTATGGTCAATATCCTGAATACTGATTGCCTTGCATTCATACTTTACATTTTCTAATGACCACATCACATATTCATGTGCTAATATGACCTAATCTTTTCCATTTTTGTTTGTTTCTCAAATTTCCTCAAAAAACATGAGTAACTTGATATTGTAAAGTATCATACTTTGATAACGTAAATAAGAACTTGACTATTAAGAAAAGCAGTAAATGAAAAGAAAATCTTTGAATTCAATAAAAATTACAAAGTTCTGATGACAATTAGCTTACATTAAACCGGTACTAGAGATTTAATATAATTTGTAATTTTCTCAAATCCAATTATCCCATAAGTAAATATCTTATCCAGAAAAATAACTTGATCAAAACCGAATATGGTATTATTTTAACTAGTAAATAAATATTTTCTTTACACACACATTGTACTATCAAGTTTTTTTTTGGTTTCGCAAAACACCAAAAACAAATATGCTAATAAGAAGTGACAAATTTTAGCAAAAACGGAAACCCTGAGATAGCAATGAGTAAAAACAATTCAAAATTAGGGCTTGATATTCATATAGAACAATAGCTGTATAGAAAAGCAAAATATGTTATGCTCGAAAATGGAGAACCATTGAAAACCTGTTTAATCATTAATCAATGAAAAAGAACAGAATATCGAAAAGATCAATTTTAACTTAGAATAAAGGTCGACAGCAAATTTAGTTCCTTAAATATAATGGAATTTCAGAACGGAATTCATCTGATAGTCATGTAAACGTAGTTATCAATGTTAGATTACTATCATTGCCACATTAACAAACTCACATGTTAATTATTGTGCTTATGCAATAACCAAAACATTATGTAATAAAGTTAGTAATCAAGTCTATGGTTACATATCAGGAAATTATATTTTACTGAATCCTGAAAATTATGGAACATGTGTTCATGTCGATAGGAAAAAAAGTTGAATATGAAATATCAGGAAATTTGATGTTGATGGTTGTCTCATCTGCATTCGAATTAATGCTAAAAAGTTGAAAGTATTTTTCAGAGAATTAAAACTCTTAATTTTGATTAAGTATTATGAAGTCAAACATGGTGTTACCCCTTTCATTTTTATATTTTTATAGAGAGTCTTTTTGACTCAAGCAATGATTCAAATAATCTTGCTTTTAGAAAACGTGTCTCATATCGGAATGCTGATGAAGTCTACGTTACAAATAGACTAATATATGGGGTCGCAGTATGACCTATATATTGTGCTTGAAGTGTGACATTGTTATCTTTCATGTAGTGAGTTCTTAAATGGGCTCTTCGTAGATTCAGCTAAGTAAAGACGCAAATATGACTAATATTTGGTCTGCAAATCGTGTCAAAAAACCGATATAAAAGTACTAATTACAGAAAAGGAGACATTGTTTATATGAGTTAGCCTAAAGAGCGAGTAGTGATCAGGTAGAATACAGACGTCTATGCTAAGTCTAGTATATTCTAATGGCTGATGATATATTGATGTTAGATTGAATGTTCTTATTGCAATGCGTCCAAGAATAACTTGTAGACGATTATTGCAGTGGAGTCTAAGAGCGTCGAGATCGGAATGAAAGGTATCAGGCAGCACTTTCGCAGCATTAACAGTGACCTTGGAGTAGAATGTTATTCTAGCTAATTTTTAGCGAAATTGCGTATGTACGTTTTTTCGCAAAACGAAACCTTACTTATTCAAATTAACAATCGTGCATAATGTTTATTGATAAGGAAATAGGCTAGACTGAGAATAACTACATAATTTTAAAAAAAATGCACACAAAAGACAAATTGTCATATCACAAAACAGAGAAAAGTAAATCAAAATGTTTTACTTGATAGTAAATATATATAAACTTTGTAAGAAGTAATTCCTGTTACCCCCACTGGCAAAATAAGTGTGAGTTA